AATTTTTTTATTATTATTACTATTATATCTCATGTTTAATGCATGAACCTGACAAACCAAACTATCTCACTCTCTCCATCTGTGGAGATGGATATTACCAAAAAAAAAAAAAAGAGAGAGAGAGAAGAAGTAGAAGACTGCGTGAAAGAAAAAGAGAGAGAAAGAGAGGCAGTAGAGGAGAGAAGAAGGAAGCTCGTTAGATGAACTTTTCACATGAGCATCCGTAAAGCGGCGGTGGCAAGTAGTAGTAGTAGGCACCAAGCTCTAGGCGACTAACGATTCCACACTTTAATGGTCCTAGTGAAATGGCTCTTATTTCGGAGCTCGCTCTCTGGGCCAGCCCTCGCATTTACTCTCTCTCCCGCACTGTGTAGTTTACGCGTGACGTGCGAGGCTCTTTAACTTCGTTTTTCTTTCTTCTTAGCCGAACGAATATGCACTTTTTCCTTGGTGTATCGAAGCATACGCTTACTCGATCCATCGCTCGTCGTCGTCGTTATAGGAGCTGCTGTTTTCATATTTATATAAAAAGGAAAAAAGCCGTAGAAGCTAGGGCTACGCCTGCTAATATCCTGCCCGAGAGATAACGAAGGCGTCATCGAGATAAGAGCTTCGAGCCGGCTAGAGGAGGAGAGAAGAGTGTCTTCTTGGGCAAAGTACGGAGCATGACGACGACGAAGGCATTGAGACGTTCTCTTTCTCTCTCTCTCTCTCTCTCGCGCTTGATGATGATGACAAAGACGCGATAGGGATAATAGCCGAGAGAGGAGCGTAATCGTGAGACAAGTAATAACAAAGAAATAAGGATCTAATCGAGCGGGAGATTGGCCTCGGCAAAATAGAGAGAGAGAGAGAGAGCTGAGTTTTTGCTCGGCACGAGAGCCAGCCGCTATATCGGGAGGACGGAAAATTAATACAGCGCAAAATCCAGTAGTTGCTGCGTACTCCCTTGTACAAAGGATGAATTCTAAACCACACACGAGTGAAAATTTCTTCCCTCTGCTGCTGCTGCTGCTGCTGCTCCTGCTGTACACGCTGGGCGCGATAAGCTCGGAGATATTCGTCCCTGGCGTCGAATGACCATTGGCAATTCTCATGCAGGAATCTCCGAGCTCTTCTACAAAGAGAGAGAGGGAGAGAGAAAGAGAACTTGAACGTGCCACGCCGAAGCAGAAAAAAAAAGCTCCAGAGCAGACTCTAGTATGATGATAATAATAATAATAAGCGATAAGAGCCGCACCAGGACGCGAAAGAAATAGGAAACGATAGCAATTGTATAAACGAAGCTCGAGTGCGTGTCTGCAGCAGCAGTAGCAGTAGTAGCGAGTACGAAAGCGTATGCATAGTACACTATGGGATTTTTATTTTCGCTCAAGCTGTCGCCACGTGCTGCTGCTACTATGGTATATACCGGCCGGCGCTCAGTAGCAGCAGTAAGGGATTATTTTTCCTTTCTCTCTTTGACTCTTTTGATTTTTTTTTTTTTAACGCGCTCGAGTTTTAACTTTCAATAATGTATAATGGCATTAGTCATGGGCCGCATGGCTAATTGCGCGCAAAGGGAAATTTCATTAAGCTCGTGCATAAATTGAGTATATCAAACTTGCTGCGTGTGTGTATTTGTATAACGTATAAACAGCTGCCGATGCGACGACGAGTCAAGCCCGATGCACCACGGCGTATATATATAAAACGTTCAGCTGGCCGCACGACCCTCTCTCGGCTGCAGCAGCGCAATATCTCTCCCTCGAGAGAGCGAGAGCGCAGAGCAGCGAGCCTCGTAATTTTTGGCAGCGTGTTCCTGATCACCTGCACGCACACGCCCGTCCACCCATCCGCGCGCACGACTGGATTCCTGTACATATAGCGCATAAACAACGTATACCCACATATGCACCTGTGTCGAGCCTGCACACGGATGCTGTTGCTACTGCTGCTATTTGCCTAGAGCTCTGTACGTGCGTGGCGCAGAGCAGGGTAGAGTATGCGGGAGAGACGAAGGACGTGGGGCCGACGCGAGACGCGCCGCAGCCGGCATGACGCCCGTCACACTCGTATATGCACACACACACACACAGACACACGTTGATCTATTCAGCTTTGCGCGCCTATTGTAATTCTCCGGATTCGGTGTATGTATAACACAGGCCTAGCGCCGATGTGTTCGGGGATTATATAGCATCTACATATCGAAGCTTACCTACTCGTTTATGCAAGCTAGCGTCTACTCCGACCTAAGGATTATTAAGTGGACTTCCCCAAAGGGTTTGAGCGAGCTGTATTATAGTCATACGTGTAAGCGACAAAGCCACTCGAACCATACACGAAATTCGATTCTATTAAAAAGAATCCGTACGCTCGCTCGTAAGTATAATGCTGTCGCTTATTCGTCGAAAGGAAAAAAAATCGAGCTTTGCAACTCTCCGACCGATGTATCTCCATATTTCTCTCTTCCGCGTGGAAGGACGAAGAATCGAGAATTCGTCGCACGTACTGTACGCCGCGCAGTCGTGCTCGCTCGCTATACGGTTAAGTATCTTTGCTGCCTTGCAGCAGCGCAAATAAGCTCTCCGAACTCCCGAGAATCCCCGGGGCGAATCCATGGCCCATTGCCGATGGATTAAGAGCGTTTATTCTGAGTCGAGGCTGCGATAAGTAGCTCGGCGATTTCAATATATTTCACCGATTCGAATCGAGCCTTTTCTCTCTCGAGCGCGCGTCACGAAAACTGTATCGAATTACTCTCTTTGGGCTAAAAGTCAACCGATCGGCTCGTATGTCACGGAGTCGAGCTCGTTGCTCGCGCGAAAGCACACGTGTTCACGCGTGCCGTATATATGCACTAAACGATTCGTGCGTTTAAAACTCGTGGAAGAAAAATATGCGCGCGAGGAGGAAGCGTCATCGCACACTCGACGATATAATTATCATATACAGAGCGCGGGTATAAACGCGATAAAGATCATTAACGCAGCCTTGACTGCCGCGAGATTTTTTAAACACGCGTAAATTGCGTCGTTATATCTATAATATAGCTCGGGTTGAAAAAAAGGGAAAACGTACAACGAGGGATGAAGAGCGAGAGAGAAAAAAGACACTTTTTCCCGCCCGTGCGGTAAAACGCAGCGTGATTGCAGCTCTCTGCGGTGCTTTTTTTGCAGACGTGGAGAGAGAGAGAGCGGCAGCAGCAGCAGTAGAAAAAAAATAAAAATAAAATGTTAAATGCGCGCACTCCCGGAAATCTAGCCGGATGCGTGTGTGCTTCATCGAAATTATAAAAGCTCTCTCGCTCCTTCTCTACTCGCTTTTTTCACGCGTTGCGGAGATAATTTGACGGCGGGGCTGCTGGGTGCGCTTTGTCGAAATATTCTGCCGCGCGCATTGTTACGTAGCAGCGTGTGCGCAAAAGTTACCTCGCTGCTGCTGCTGCCGCGCACAGCTGTAGCTATATAGCAGTAGCTACTATTTTTTTTTCAAGGTTCGTTACGCGTCGCGCCGGCTCGCTACACCGGTACTGTTGCGTTTGCTTTTTTTCATTCGTCTCATAACGGATGAGTAGAATATTGTTGCTCGCGCGAGAGGAAGTTATATAGCAGCAAAGGCTCGCAAGACCGCTGCAGCATCGACGTGAATGCATCGCAATCAACTGGCCAAAACGATGATCGCAAGCTCGAGGCTGCTTGCCCAGCCCCGCGCCTCGCGAATATAAATCATTAAGCTCGCCGAATATTCAATTTAGATCGTGTGTGGGAATTTCAACGGCGGCGCGGATATCGCGATAATTTCACGCTCGGTATGGAAAATTCGATCGCGCGCAAAAGTATAATAATACGAGCCCTCTCGCATGATTTATTATGCGCTGGCATCGGAAAAACAACGAGCATCCGATCTCTAATTTATATGTAAATTTCGGCTTATCCGTCGTCGTCGGTGGCGGCCTCGCTCGCGTCGGTCTCGTTTTCCCTAATTAACGCGTGTTCGTATCAAAACACAACGCGACGCAGCGCCAAAATAATGACTCAACTTAGCCGCAGCCACGTATCAAAGGGACAAATACGACACAACGAGGGTTTCGTCGTGCAGGCGTACGACGACACTATACAATATATATATATAGGCTTGATGCGGTTGTTCCGTATAGCACAGTGTAGTACGTCTCCTTGGCGACACGAGTGCAGCAACGACTGGGATAATAATGTCCTGCGCGAGCGCCTTGTTTGCTCTCCCAGAGAGAGAGAGAGAGAGAGACACGTCTATGCAGAGAATACGGTCGGGGCTGCTGCTGCATGGCGGTGGATCGCTGCTGCTAAACTGCCACTGCTGCAGTGCAGCGCACTATATATCGCAATCAAGCCGTACGCGATGTTTGCTCGGACGCGAGTGCGTATGCGCATTTGACAAACAAACTGACGCGTGTAAGTGTTTTTTGCCTCGATATACACGAGAGATAAATCTGTAAACGTACGTATTGATATTTATTACGACGCGCGTCGAGCTTTTCATCGTCGGCTCTCGGCTCGATTCGATTCGATTCGATCGACTGCGACGAGCTGCTGCACGAAAAACAAACATTATACACGATGCAGCGGCGTACGTGTACGCGTGTGATTTATGATGCAGCACGTACCGATGCGTATGAACCCGGATTATAATAATCGAGAGACACGAGGGGGTGGCGGCTGGGCTGCGTTATGTATATATAACATAGGCTGAAAAGCTGCTATTTACGCCAGGGGGATAATAACTCGTGTCGTTTACGTGTGTGTGTACGTGTGCTCATCATTATACACATTTTCCAATCTAATACGATACGCTTGCGAGACTCGAGCGTAATATACTATTGACCGTTTGTTTACGTTTTACGAGCAAATTAGTGTAGCAGGCTACGATACACGACGAGTTCGATCAACTCGCAAAGTGTATTTGAGAATATAATAACATCAATGATGAAACGACTAAATGTATAATATTACGAGACGTCGAGCTGTGCTCTAACTTACCGGCTGGCCCACGAGGCTCTGCCAAGTGAATTCGAGATCGTCGATCACCGCTGCCACGGGCACGACGAAATTCATCGCGTACGTGTTGATGATGCCGTCCCTCACGTAATACAGCTCAGCGTCCAATCCTAGACAGAAGGCGACATTAGAAAAAACAAATGAGCTAAACGATTTCCAAATTCCGTGAGCAACGTAATCGTGAAAATTCGTATCATTGGTGTATTTTTGTCTTTACAGTATATCATAATATGCATAAGTGGGACCTAGGGTGTAATTAAATGACGAGTGACGACGCAGAATTATGCTCATAAAAATATTATTAACATTGCTATTATTTATTCGATCGAGTTCCAAATATTAAAAGTGTATTTCTATTTACGGAGCCATAGGTCCTTTAACGATATATCCTTTAGGGCTGATTAAAATAAGGATCACAAGGACCACCATAAAAAGCACGCCCAATCCACAGATGCAAAGCCCTAACGTATAATCAGGACACTTTAAGGTTAAATACGTTATCGGGCGAACGATGCTGCGAAGTAAACAAAAAAAACGTACATATGAGAGTGATTCATGCGGTCTTCTTAACTTCCCAATTGTATCATCTTACCAAGCTGGCATCCAACCCATTAAGAACTGGTTCATACGGTCAGCCTGAAATAATTTTTCATCGATCATTTCAGGTTTTTTTATTTCTAGAAATCATTTGACTTGTATAATATTGTACTTTATTATTACCTCTTGTCGTTTGCGTTCTAGTCGTCGTGCCACTCGTTCGATTCTTAAAGCTTGGTGGACTTGGTCGTTTATAAATCGCCGGTTTTCGTCATTCTGCCTCTCATTTGTGATATTGGCTCGTCCTCGTTCGATTCCAACTGATATTCTTACCTCCTGAGCTCGTGGCTGAACCGTTATAGGTTTCCTCTCCACACTCGTCGATGGCTCTTCACTCATCGATCGATCCCATTGAGATGTCTCCTCGCTCATTGATTGATCCAAAAAGGATCTATCATCTTCACTCATCGATTCATTCAATAAAGGTATCTTATCGTCACTCGTCATTTTTCGGTCGAACAAAAAACAAAAATTAGGATACACGTAAGTTTATGATTGAATCGGCTGGTTCAATATCGTCCGCGATACTACCGGTTATCTAAAGTTTTTGATTTGACGTACGATCGAGTCAGCAGCACGTAAATATAGGTCACTGCTGCTGCGATGTTTACATCTTGTGTACAACAACTACGACGACGACGATGAGATTGGTCTTACATGCCTCATCGATCGTTAAATTTCAAACACGAATCAATACATTTTCTACTGGAAAAATGGCTCCGAATATATACTCCGAACATATCCTGGGGCTTTGAGCGCGCGAGCAATAAAGAGCGCAAAAGACAGGGTTATATGCCGCATTCGCAGCAACGAACGCTGCATGCAAAATAATTCAAGCCGAAAAACCTCGCCTCTCTCGTGCGCGCAAAATACACTGCTCACGCAAAGAGAATAAAGAAGCAAATAAAAAAAAAGAAGAGAGAGGAGTATCTAGCGCCAGACATACACGACCTACCCCATCCCTCTTGAAGCTCACGTGTAAAACCACCATACGTGGCTGGTTGTGTGTATTTGTATGTGTGTGTGCATCCGCAAGAAGAAGTCGGAAGCCAAATCTGCGGCGCAGGCTTCATTTCTCTCATCCATCTGCCTCGCGAACGAGCGAGGATAAGCCTATACCTCCCCGGGGATATTTGAATTTTCCCGCTCACCTGTATACTTATATACAAACACACACATACGATTCGAGGAATATAAGAAGATCCAGGGCGCACCTCGTCTTATTTCCTGTTTTTTCTTTTACCTCTTGCTCTCGCCCGGGCTTCGACTGATTTTATTTCGGTGATTGCGGCGAGATTTATCATCGAGGATTTAGCTGCAGCTTGGCTCGGGCAGATTTATGAAAGGCGCGCGGCATCAAGCGTTCGCGGCTCGAGAAAGAGAATCGTGCACGCGGGTAAGAAAAATCGATTTCGACCTTAGTTAACCGCACTACTGGTTGTCAGTTACAATTTTCCGTCGCCCTTTGATCCGATCTCGAATTTCTCAATTCTCTTGGTGCGCTGCGGCTCCCTTCGCAATTGGATTGTTATCTCGCATTAGAAAACAAATGCAGACTACATCATATAGGCAGCACAACCCGCCCCTCTCCCTTGAGATACACTTCGTTCTCGGGGCACGACTGCATCGAAAATGTTCTTCGCCGCACTCACTCACGCATTTTAATCCTCGTGCTTTCTCTCTCATATAATGCGTGCCTCTCTAATTAAGTAAGCATCGCAATGCGTGACAAAAGACGACGACGACGAGGAGACGAGCACGAGCTCCGTGAGCTGCGGATTCCTCGGCGCAGACACGATTCTCTACTTAGCAAAACGTGTACGCGAGGACCCTCTGCGATGTGGCGTATAGCAGCGCGAGACCATCTGCCAACTTTCCGTTATATTATCAACTGCGTGTAAATCCCTGCGGTGTGAGTATGTGTGTATGCGCGTGGTAGGCGAGTGAAAAGCTCGTACGCTGAGAATATGCACTTTTATATATCGAGAGGGGCCACAACGTTACGTACGATAAAATGAAAAGACAAATGGACGATGATGTATGGCTGCTGCTTTGCCATTCACGTCGTTGCGAATTATTCTCCACTGACTGTAGTTATGTGCTGGGCAAAATAAGTTCGTTATACTTTGGTTACACGTTGAAAACAGTGATTTTTTTTAATAATAAAGCATCGAAATACAAAAGTATGTAATAAAACGTTGATCCAAATTATGAACAATCTAGATTAATTTATAATGAGTTATTTAGATTTTTTAACAATATAGATCAATCTAGATTTGATAGTCTGGATTTTTATAATAATACAGACTACATTACGATCAATGCTTCGTCATCTGAACATACATTTTTTGATGTATGTAAAACACTGTTACCATCATAATGCCCATGAGAGTCATCCCTATCGTGATTAAGCCGACGTGGTACACAAACGTCCGTATCCTGTCGGCACCGACTTCTCTCCACCTGAAAAATGAACAATCATATATGAGTTTTATCATTGTATCGTTGAAAAATTATTAGCATCGAATGATTAATTTCAAATTACCAATTGATGAACTCGTCGAAAAAACTTAATTCATTATCCGGGCTCGTTCTTGTTATTGTTTCTTGAGATCTTGGTTCTTGATTCCTGGCTTCGTGGATCCTGGCTTCTTGGCTCCTGGTTTCTTGGCTCCTGACTTGGTTAATTAAAGATTTCTTTGCGTCATTTTCAATATCTAGATTGATAAGGTTTTGAACGGGCAAGAATTGACTCGGAGGAACGTGCACACTTGTCCCAGATTTATTTTTTTGCGCATGGTGATTGTACTTCATAATTTATGGATTTATCGATGACAACGAGGAGCGAAAATTTTTTTAGATATCGTCAGATATAACGGCTTGACATAAACGACGAAGTCGGAACTAATGTTTCGTAACGATATAGTGTGTACACAAGCTGTATACGGCTTGTTAGTTTGATTATTGACAACACTGTATATATCAAGTAGGAATATGTGTCAGAAGAAATAATTCTTATTAGGGCTAAATAATTTCTATTATAACTGATGACTGATCTAATTCGATTAATAAATAATTTTTCGTGAAAAATATTATTTGTACGAATATTATTTTGAATCTGACTTGGATTTGTATACTGAGTTTGTAAATACTCAAAACTGAATTAATTTCAAACTACACTCTGGTATTCTACTAACAATAACTGTCATTACAGTAATCTCAAGTTTTAAATTTTTCTCCTTGTAATTGAGTTTTCTAAGCAATGACTCTCCTTAAAATATAAATAGATCAAGAGCTAGCGTCCTTTTACATTCGCTTACGTCCTCAAAAAAGGGAAAAATTTTCATATCTTTACAAAATTTTATTTAACCACTGGAAAATGTACACATACATGCGTCTCGAGGAAAAAATTTCTCTCAAAGCAGCAGCACATACATGTACGTCTCTCGAGCACTAAGACGATGTGTACTACACGCTACTCACACTCGTGCACGCTAGCTAGAAATGCTTCAATAAAAAATATCAACTCATATAAGCAGCGGTACGGGAAAAAACTTTTGCGACTGTAAAATTCAATGTCACGTAAAATCATACTTTAGCTGAATTTAAGATTTTCTCCTTTTTCATATGTATGCAATTTCTTGTGTGCAGGAGAAAACTTGAGCGAGGGTTTGGGGATTGATGCACAAGGACGATAAAAAGTTTATGCCGCAGTAATTAATATGGATTGTCAAAGTGTGCAAGGGACCGAATCAAAATTCAAAGCTCGAAGAAACATTATATGGCTTTACAAGTCTCTATATGATGCACTATTTTCTGGGGCTATACACCACCAGCACGTCTCCCAAAAAATGTGTGTCTATATATGTGCGCGCAGGAGCTTCCTCTACGTGAATTTGTATATACCTATATATCGTAGAGAGGCAACACGAAACTCGCGCTAAAACATTCATGCCGCGTATAAGAGAGAGATTATGAGCCCTACGCAGTGGAAGCTCGCTTTCCTCTTCCCTCGAAGCATCGTTACGTGTGTTCGTGTGTGTATACGTACACTTTTTGCACCCCCGAAGAAGAAAAGTACCCGGTGAAACAGACAACGAGCAGCGCCACTCGTGCAATCGTTTATATTTGTTTTACAATTTAACTGCCCTCGGCCCTCTCGTTCGTTCTCTCAGTCTTTTTCGAGTGTGGCAATTGGATTTTCATATTTGATCGCGTGAAAATGACTGCGAATTTGCAGGCCATTCTCATTGGTTTTCGATTCGCGCGGCGTTGATGCAACCCGGCCGAAAAAGGGAGAGGCTTGATTTTAATCATCGAGCTTATATATACAACAGCGTTGATTGCAGAGTTGGAAATTACTTTTTCGTCGCATGTCTCGATCGTTTGTTAACAAACAAAGCAACTATATACTTTTCAAGTAAACAAAGTTAAAATCTAACCACGACGACGACGTGCAACGTCTCGCGTTCCGACACTTCACAAATCAAACAAACAACTCTTAAAAATCCATCAAAAACACCCTAACTCTCTCAGCAGCAGCACCCCATCGAATACACAGAACGCAGAGAGAAATAGAAAAAGAGAGAGAAAAAAATCAATTTCCGATTTGTCGGCGTACGTACGCGGCCAAATCTATGGAACAAAGAAAACAATCCGCTACACACTGCCTTGACGTATACTACTGGGGGCACGTTTATGTGTCCCCCAGTTCGGCGATATAACCGTAAAAACTCAATTAATATCGAATCTTTTAAAAATCCAGGGTTATAAATTTCTCGTCCGGATAAACCCTTGGATAAAGCCTCCTGCGTACGTTTCCTCTTTCTCTCTCTTCTCTGAAGGTAAACACATTACATAGAGAAGTTATATTCTCTGGTACTCCCGCGCGCAAGGATAGCATCGCAAGGAGAGCAAAGAGCTTGCAAGAGCTAGCTAGCATAGTTATGTTACATACACACACGAAGAGGAGAAGGAGTACTGCTGCTGCTGCTGCTGCTGCTGCCGGCGCAGAATTCAGCGGAGCGTGGAATGCAAACACACGTATCAAACGAGCTAGCTTCGGGTGAAATATATATATCGGTGCGGGGGGACGTGTTTTTGGTTTTTCACGATGCAACGCCACAGAGCCCGTAAATAACCTTCTCTATAACCACTTGTAGATTTTGCGCAGCTGCGAGCTGTGCGAACGCCGATCCCGTGCCGCCTACGAATGACGTTTTTTTTCGCGCACTTATTTCAGTGTAAATATCTTGTTTATAAGGTACGATTCACGAGCGTATTCAAGCAGCCGAGTGTGCATTACACTTCGAGTTGAGCAGCAGCTCGCGCGCATAAGCTTCGTTAGAGTGCGAACTCAAAGACACTATATGTACGCCTACACAAACTAAATGGAGCTTTTACTAGTTTACTTATCCCTCGGAGCAATCGAGTATACATCGAACTTGTATATCGAAATTGGCAAAAGCTGCTGCAGTATTATACACACACGAGTCGGAGGAGAAAAAAATTACGTTAGTCAACGTTAAAAGCTCTCGCCAGTCTAGACGCGCGTACGTATAAAATTATTATGTATATTCGTGCAAAAAACTTATATATTCTCGCGCGCGGCGCCTCGCTCGTGCACGCTTCACTTGATGTGTGTCAACATCAAAAGTAGCTTTCATCGCGCGCAGCTGGATTTCGCACTTGGAGTGCGCAGTGCATAGCATCACACGCGACATTGTGCGTACTACTACCACTACTACTACTACTGCTACTACACGTATGTACAGACTCGCACACGAGTGTTGTACATGTTATTCATAAAATGGCAAGAGTTGCGAGTATTTGCATACTCTTACATTTATGCGAAAAGAGAGAGAGCGAGAGTGAGCTTGTTTTTTTTTTGCAAAAAAAAAAGTTGTCTAGACTGCTCGGCTCGACGAAGTCAGTGTCACGCGTACGTTTTTTCGAAATGTAACTATAAATTTTCCACGGTAGCACACAGCACATGACTACAGCACACGGTCGAGAAATTTTACCGAAAACTTTTTCAATAAAAATCGTCCCTAATCGCTCATTGGAGAGCCGTTACTTATAAATACACAGAGACGTGTCTATACACAATTGCCTTGTCGAAGCTCGAGTCGAGTCAACACCCCACCCCCGATCAAACGTCGAACCAATATTCGGAGGATGGTATACAAAAATTCCTCTCTCGTCTGCTGCTGCTGCTGCAACGCATCCGTATCGAAGTGCGATCAACAAGGATGTTTGTCTTTAATTAAAGCAGCTCTCCTACTACTACTACCACCCCCGGACGACGACGACGAGCATCGCGCGTCTGTAATATTCGATCGATCTCCTCTCATATTTTACACAAGTACCTCGAGTCTCTCGGATTTAATTAGCCTCGAGGCGCAAGTTATGCGATTCCTTCGCGAAGGAGTGCGAATTCCCCGAGACTTTGGGATTTGCAATATGTGCAGGCGCTTGCAGCGACGACGATGATGCTTTTAACATTCGTAAAAATTGATGCTCCCGAGACGTTCAACTCTCGGCCTATACGCAGTCGACGAATTATGACGTTAATTGAATCGTTAATTAGATAATTAATTTTCAAGGAGTTTCGTGTACTGGGAAGAAAGTTCGAGAATACGAGGGACAAGTTTTCATTTTAAGCTATATGTACGCTGTCTTGTTGTGTGTGTGTATGTGTTATGTGTATTTGTCTGTCTGTTGGCCTGAAAATTCACAGACACAGCGAGGATCGCAAAGAGATGATGAAGAAATCTGAATAATTTAAATCTCGGAAAGTTTTGCCGAATGCTGAGCGACAACGACGGGCCAAATACCAAAGCCCACAGTGTGACAATAAACTCTCTGTTTGTATACATCGCTTTCGCGAGCCGTAACAATGATTCGTGCAAAACATAAAGCAGAAAAAATTGTACATGAATAAGCGAACGATGTACAATTTTAAATTTAATGAGTCGTCACCGAGCTGTTTTGTATTATTTATTATTCAGCCCACGAAGCGCTCGTTGAGTTCATTACACTTTTTTTGTCGGCTTCAATTCGCTGAATAAACGAATCGTCGTGTTTACAAACATCGCGTATTTACAATTACAGAAAACGCAAAAAAAATACAATTTTAAGGAGAAAGGGACTTTATTTTTTTATTACTCTCGCAACACATCTTCGTCGAAGCTTAAGCTCTTGTCTTAAGCTGCTAAAGAGTGTCTAAAATAAAAGCGACGAAACGAGAGCGAGAGAGAATCCGCTTCAATCCTTCGACTTACATGTCATACACATACATACAGTCAAACAGGAGATAAAAAAAGCTTTAATTGAAAAAAACGCGGGCGCTTTCAATTTGGATGGGAAATAAAGGAAAGGTAGATGCATTCAGCCCCTAATAGTAGCTGTCGTCGTCGTCGTCGTCGTCGTCGTGCGGCTGTGGTTTCTTCTCTCTTTTTTCCATGCTCATCAAGAATCGAAAGGACGTCGTTTTTTCTTCGATCATAATTACTCAAGGGACTGTCGGTTATACACGCTTCCTTTGGCCCCCCCCCCCCACGCGCGACAGAGAAAAATTAAAGAGCGAGCGACACGAGACGCGCGGGCGAGGATGTATATTCGCGCGACGATCGGAAGCGAGCTAACAGCGAGCCGCTAATTGTCCTATTGGCGGTTTGCTGTGACCGACGAGAGGAGAGAAAGGCACGCCGATCACGCGAGGGATTTGGCTCATTAGTGATTGCGGTGGCGACAATGCCTGCCTGAGCCGTAGTAACCTCCCGCGGTGGTGGCTAATAACTCGAGGTTTCTCGAGGTATCTGTAATAATACACATTCGCCGATGAATCGATCTCTTGCGTATGTACACCGATAATTGATATTTTTCATCGTTGATTGCTCGACTGAAGATATAATTGCATGTACGATAAATATTGAAAAAACCAATCCTGTGAAAAAATAGACAAAACTAAAACTTTCATTTCAGAGTAGTACAGGCCACTCGTGTGTATTATACATGCGGTAATAACGACAATAGCACACGGCTAGTCATAGGCACCGC